TTTTCTGCGATTTTCTCATCCATTTCTAGTGTTCCCGAGCAAGGAAGAGTCTTTCAGAGTTCGACGAGAAACCCAAACTTTCGTCTTGTCTTCTGAGGGCGATAGGTTGACTATAGGGACGAGGAAGACGACGATAACCCTAATCGAAGGATTATATAATTTGGTTTAGAACGAACGATAATGAAGCCACATCTTTTTTTTTTTTTTTTTTTTGTTTTTTGATTGGGTGTAAAAACAATTATTATAGAATTAAATGATAGATTTTTAGAATAAAGAAATGAATAATTTAAAATGAGATGAGATGTTTTAAAATATAAAAATAATTAATATAAAATAAAATGATGAAAATTTTAATAAACAAATTATTTTAATAAAATTTATTATTTTAAATGAAATTTATTTATTTATAAAATAATAATAGATAAATTATAAAAATTATGATAAAAATAAGTAATTTAAAATGAGATGATAAAAAATTTAATAAAATATGATTATTTTTAATAAAATGTATTGTTATTTAAATTGAAATTTATTTATTTATAAAGATAAAGTACAAAATATAATTATGAAAATTTTATAATAAAACATATATATAATTGAAAAGTATAATTTTATATTATAAAAGAAACTGATAAAATATAATTTTTATTACATAAATAATTTATATCATTTTTATTAAATTTATATAAACACATATTATAATAAAATAATAAATAAAAATATATATAACGTCCACATGCGCATTCACCGATAATATTTGAATAAAGCTTCTCCCACTCGTAATCTGTCTCTCTCCCTTTAATTTGTTTATCCATAACGCCAAAAAGAAGAAAAAAAATGATGCGTCGTGTGTATAGAAAGGGTAATTATCAGGTGCGGTAATCTATCGTGGACTATTGCTTGTGTTCGGATGAGATTCTGGACGTTCGATCAAATACAGAACTGTAGTCTTATTTTTTGTAATGAGTGTCTTGAATATCAATGTTAACTATATGATTTGGAATATAGAGGTTCGAATTCGAATGCCCTCATATTTAACAGCCACTTACAAGAGCCGTATATATATATATATATATATATATATATATAGGATAAAACTTTGTATATATGAGTATGTCTAATATTCAATTAAATAAAACTTGACACATGCAACAATGTATAAGCGCATGCACACGTAAACTCGATATAGTTTAAAACCTAAACATGTCGACTTGTTTGACAGAGAAACATGGAGAAAACAGGTAGAGAAGTTAAACAAACTTATTTAAATGCATTTGGAGATTTTCTTACCAAACTCCCATCTGCAACACTTCCGACAATCTATATATATCCTCCAAGACTGAAGACGAAACTCATCAACAACAATAACAAGCAAGAAAAAAAAAACAGAGAAAGAAGAAAGATTTCATTGTTCTTCTGCGAGAAAACTTCCAAGCATCAATGGCGTTGAGTAGTCTCTGGACTCTTCTGCTCATATGTCTTACCGCACTTGTCCCCGATCCTGTTTCAGTCGCAGCACGTCGGTTGTCGGAGATTCCCGAGCCGGAAGTTCCCAAGTTTCCGGAGATTCCCAAACCGGAACTTCCCAAGGTACCGGAATTTCCTAAACCGGAAGTGCCGAAGTTGCCGGAGATTCAGAAACCGGAAGTTCCAAAATTGCCGGAGATTCCAAAACCAGAACTTCCCAAACCGGAACTGCCGAAGTTGCCGGAAATTCAGAAACCAGAACTTCCCAAGGTACCGGAACTTCCCAAACCGGAAGTTCCGAAATTGCCGGAGATTCAGAAACCAGAACTTCCCAAGGTTCCGAAACACGAAGTTCCGAACTTGCCGCAGATTCAGAAACCAGAACTGCCGAAGGTGCCGGAACTTATCAAACCGGAAGTTCCAAAATTGCCGGAGATTCAGAAACCAGAACTTCCAAAGGTACCGGACCTTCCGAAACACGAAGTTCCGAAGTTGCCGGAGATTCAGAAACCAGAACTACCCAAGATGCCGGAACTTCCCAAGTTCGATGCTCCCAACTTGCCGGAAATCCCGCAACATGAGATCCCGAAAGTACCGGAGATTCCCAAGTTGCCGGAACTTCCAAAACCGGAAGTACCCAAATTGCCGGAGATTTCGAAGATTCCTGAGATCCCAAAGCCCGAGAATCTTCCGAAGGAAGGCCCAAGTCCTTAAAAGCCCAGCATTAGAAGCCTAAGTTACCATATTACCCTTATAGTTTCTGTTTATCTACGGATATTACCCTAGTATGTTCCCTGTTGTATTGTATTTCTTGGGTCTTCTTCCATTTGTAAACTTGTATTTTGTTTGTATCTTTAAATTAAAATACAATATATTTTGTGTGTTGTATAATGAATTTTATATCATCTGGTTTTGATTTTATGTATACTAGTTCATAAAATCAGTGAAATAAAAATGGGCCAAGAATGCACGAATTGGGCTTTTGGATCCTGATGGGTCATAACAATAATAGTGATAATATAATAATCCTATAAATAAAAAGAAAAATCGGCAGCCATTGTCAAGATTCCAGAGGGAGAGAGAAACCAGTGACCGGAGGAGAAGAAGAAGATAGTAACGGAGGATGGGGGTGGAGAAGGAAGTCATCAGAGCCGGCACCGGTCCCAAGCCCTCCGCCGGTCAGACCGTCACCGTACACTGCACCGGATTCGGTATCTCCGTTTTCTCCGCCGTCTTCTCTTTCTGTGTGTCGTTGTCTCTGAATATTATGCGGCGATTCGATCTGTGCATGAATCGAGGAGGACTGGAGTTTTCTTTGATGTTTTAACCGTTGTGATGTTTTGACTGTCTGGGAATCCCTTGTGGAAATGGAAGAAAATTGATATTAGGGTTTAGGTTCTGAGATCTTAACTCGTCCTCTGAGGGAACACTTTTGTATTTGGTTGCGTGGTGATTGCTTCAGTTTACATTTTCTCTCTCTCTCTCTTAGCAATTGCCAAGAACCCCTTTTACTCGGCATCTGATAATACCAGGATTTTTCCTGTTTTGAGTGACAAGAGAAGATTCGGGTCGATGTGTTCATGGTTGGGTCTTATCACTTTCAAACATATGCATGTGGTATCTTTTTGTTCGTATGATCATGTTGTGCCGTGCGCTGTCTATTTTCTGTCAGATCCTGTGCCAAATTCTATGAATTAGCCTCTTATTGTATGGAGAAACTGAGAGATACTCAATTGTCTTACGAGCTCATTCTCGGGTGGCCTGCCCTTTATTTTGAGTAGAATTGAACTCGATTTTCTATGAAAAGATCAGAAAAGAAGGGAAATCTGTTGCCTTGTGCCTTATGTTCGCCGTTGTAATGCTCTCTTGTCTTGCAGGGAAAAATGGTGATCTATCCCAGAAGTTTTGGAGGTAGGGGTTCTCTTGCTAAGTTAATTATTATACATTATACATGCAGACACGCAAATGAACAGATGTGTTTAGCTTTCTTTAAGGTCTTGTTGTTTCCAAGTCTTATGCCTTTCCTGCAATTTCGGTTTTTGCAGCACAAAGGATCCTGGACAGAAGCCCTTTTCATTCCAAATCGGTAAAGGTGCTGTTATCAAAGGTAATTTTCTCGGTCTCATGGTAATCTATGTTAGGTTTTGCTCTTTGGGGAAGGTACATGGTTTAACCTTATCTACGTTCATTTGCAGGATGGGATGAAGGTGTCATGGGCATGCAAGTTGGAGAGGTGGCCCGTCTTCGGGTATGTATTCAGCTTTCTTCATCTTGTTCCATCTGGCTTACATTACATGAGAAAATGGTGGATACATATCTATCTGATGATTTGTTGCCTTCTTGACCGTATAATAAATTTGTGATCTCTGCTCTTTTTTTCTGAAGTATCTTTATCTAGACTTGCTCTCTCTCTCTACACTTATCAGTCACCTCAAGAAAGGATCCATTCCTTCACCACACATTCTCTCTTTATCATCTTCAAGAATCATAATAGAACGTGTGATTTAGTTCGAACTGGATATGGTTTTTTTTTTTGGTTGCAGTGCTCACCGGACTACGCGTACGGACCTGGTGGGTTTCCGGCATGGGGAATCCAGCCTAACTCGGTTCTCGACTTTGAAATCGAAGTGCTGAATGCGCAGTGACCCTACCATTTGAGCAGAACTCCATATCATCTACTAAGCCAGAAGAAGATATTTGATTGATTGTGTATGGCGTGGCGATGTTACGTTCTTGTACTCAGTGGAACCTACTTCTATGGCGCTTTGCTCTCTCGGACATAAACCACTTTTGTTCGAATAAATCTGACTGTTGGGTTGTATAGCCCTTGTACCGTTTATATTGTCTTTCCTGTCCGGATATTTGATTTAACAATCCCAATGTGAATCTTACCAAAAAATATTTAGACATGTGAAAAGGGTCTTACTGAAATTGTCGGTATTTCTTCAGAACCACCAAATATCGTGAAAATATCATTTTTTTTTATTTCACTTTATTCTCACCGTTTATATCTAGATATTATAATTTTTTTTTTGTTCCATTTACTCAAAAGTTGTATACATTGTGAAACTTCAAGCACGTGCCATTTCATATCTTTCAGTATGTGTTGTAATCGTTTCATTTAATCAGATTAAAATGCGTTTATCAGTAATAATCAAACTTGGAGTTTTTTTTTTCTTGGTTTAGCATAAGAACGATGAAGAATTTCTCCAAAAGTAGCAAACCAACTTTTTTTTTTTTATAATCCGGAAGTTCACCGTACCTTTGACCGAATTACATCGACCGAAAAAACCAGGTGAATATCCATCCCCACGTTTAGATTTGGATATTATCTCGTTACTATGCCACCCAACTTTGGGTAGCAGCAAACTTGTCGACCGTCTATTACACAAACACGAAGACTTGGTGTTACATTTATTTTTTCTTCCTTGTCCTTTTGTCCTCTTCTTCTTCCACTTCTCTAAGTCTCCATTAATCCTATCTCCAATCAACCCTTAATTCTCCATAACATCCATACGACGCCAAAAAAAAAAACTGCAAAAAACAAGAAGATGGGCTTCAAAGCATTTCTTGAAGGCGGCATCGCCGCCATCATCGCCGGCGTAATAACTCACCCACTAGATCTCATCAAGGTCCGTATGCAACTCCATGGCGAATTCTCCTTCTCCATGGACCCTAACCCTAATCCGAATCTTCCTCTCAAGCCTTACAGACCCGTTTTCGCACTCAACTCCCTCATCGGCAGCATTTCCTTGTTACCTTCGTTCACGCTCCCACACGCGCCGCCGCGTGCCACTCCTGTCTCCGTCGGCGCCCACATTGTGACCACCGAAGGCCCCGCCGCTCTCTTCTCCGGCGTCTCCGCCACCGTCCTCCGTCAGATGCTCTACTCCGCCACCCGAATGGGCATCTACGACTTCCTCAAGCGCAAATGGACCGACCGAGTCACCGGAAACCTTCCCCTCACCGCCAAAATTGCCGCCGGGCTCATCGCCGGAGCTATCGGATCCGTCGCCGGAAACCCAGCTGACGTGGCGATGGTACGGATGCAGGCCGACGGACGATTGCCCGTTAAACAGCGTAGGAACTACAAGAGTGTGGTCGACGCAATCGGGCAGATGGTGAGGCGAGAGGGATTTTGTAGCCTGTGGCGCGGGTCGTGGCTAACGGTGAACCGGGCGATGATCGTGACGGCGTCGCAGCTGGCGACGTACGACCAGGTGAAGGAAGCGATGGTCGCCGGAGGGAGAGGGTCGCCGGCGGGGATGGGGGTACACGTGGCGGCGAGCTTGGTGGCGGGGCTGGTAGCGGCGGTGGCGTCGAACCCAGTGGACGTGGTGAAGACGAGGATGATGAACATGGACGCGGCGGCTCCGGCGTACGGAGGGCCGTTGGACTGCGCCGTCAAAACGGTGACGGCAGAGGGTCCGATGGCTCTTTACAAAGGATTCGTTCCGACCGTCACTAGACAAGGACCCTTCACTGTCGTTTTGTTTGTTACGTTGGAACACATTCGTAGTTTGTTAAAAGATGTTAAATTTTGATTACAAAGTTTGGGAAATAATGTGATTATGTAATGAAAGAATGTGATGATTGAATTTGGACCGTAATCGATAATGATTTAAATTATTCGGGAGATGATTTAGCTAGAAGGTGACACTGATGTGAACCGGAAACATGTTGATGATATGCGCTTGGCATATTCTTCTGTTCTTTAGGCGAAAATCAATGCAGTGTATAAGTAGAGCCCATTAAAACTCTGGCCCACGTCAAGGCCCACATCAAGGCCCATTAGCTCCTTCAATTACACCAAAGCCCAAGTTCATCTCACGTTTGGCTGTTAATGGGTGAAATATTTTTCTCAATCTTTTTTCTAATAATAATAATAATAATATACTTTTTTTAAAGAAAATATCTAGAAAGTAAAAAGAGGAAAGAACAAGTCATGAGGGCGATTAAGCACTTAAAATGCCCCCGTGCATTCCTTTAATCATCACTTCTTCTCTTTTTTTCCCCCTATTTTTATTTTCAATTCTCTCTTTATTATTCGAAAGCTAAACTCGTTTACATTTATATTTCATAGTTTGGATTTAAATGAATCAAGTACTATGGAATAATAAGTTAACAATTGATATGACTATGATTTCAATAATGGACTGTTTTTGGCATTTTATAATAAAAATGGGGGCACCGCACACCACCCACCCTTAGGCCTTAACCATGGCGAAAGTATAATTTTAAAAATATAAAAGGAAACAAAAAAAGAGAGGGTCAAGCACACTTTGACTTTTTGCTTTTGTTTTTCAAAGCGAAACATATGGGCAAATATACTTTAACGAACCACCGAGAAGTTATTAATTTTATAATTTAAACGGTTATTTTAATCGATTATCAAACTATATAATATTATTTCAATGATATCTTGTGTACTAAAAAGACCACGAAATCGTGAAATTTTTTCATCATAATATAATGGATAATTGTCTGTGTACAATGTACGCACGGTTCATGTCCCTTAAACCACATTTCCATTAAATTAGAAGAAGATCGCATCTAACTTAATTACATTTTTATAACCTTAATTACAAATATATATTTTTTGTATTGTATATCATACAAAAGTTATAAACAGGGTTCCTTAGAAAAAAATTCTTTAACTAGAAACCATAATAAACAAAAAAAAAACTATTACGTAAAATTAATTAAAATAAATATATTCAATAAATATTAGAATACATAAAAAAATTATTTATTTGAAAAAATATAAAACAATTATAACTGACCGATTATAAATTCCGCTGCTCTAATCGACAATAAAATGATAAATATTTAATTATTTCCGCTGCATTCACTTGAATTTAGATATAAAAAAAAACGTATGTCAAAAAACAAAGACCATTAAATGTTTAAATTTTCTCCCTTTGATAAAATAGCCAATAATCTTGGGGGAAGAGTGGTGATTTAGTAGATATGAGTGAGAGAGAAGGGTAAAAGCGTCATATTAATCTCTATAAAGGCAGCCTTTCACTCTTGCCACCTACTTCTTTCGATACATTTTTCCGCTTAACTCTACGTCGCTGTAAACAGTGTAGCTCATTATTGCACGGTGGGTTGCTTTCTCTCAAGACTTGTCCGTTGGGTTCTTTCTGCGTGGTTTGATCTCCCGAAATCTCCCGTCTTTCTCTGGATCTGAGCGAAAGATCTTCCTCTGTTACCTCCCTGTAAGCTAACAGATCGCATTGTTTTCAGTTTTTGACGATTTGGCTTCGTTTCTCCTTTTGTTTCCCGATAAAATTCGGTACCAAAACGAGGGAGATACGTCTTAGACTGGCGAAATGAGTTGAAATCGTTCTTCTGAGGCCTATATGTTGGTTTCCTTCTGTGTGTTTAATCGTTATTTCTTCTTTTCGGGTCCAAAGACTCATAAAGTCTGGATCTTTTCTGGGTGTTGATGAGATGTTTCCATTCTTTCTCCTTTTTGATCGCAGGAACGTTTCGGTGGTTGAATACGCTAAGTTAGATCGAGACAGGAACAGGGTGGACGGTATAATTGTGCAGAGAAGAGGAACAGCATGTGTTGGTTCACCCTTTCTGTTGACGTGTACCGAAAAGTCGTGCCCTTGAATCTGTATTGCCGGGTTATTCTGTAAATTGTTCTTCCTTGAACCCAAAAGCCTTTTCATTCTTTCAGCCTTTCTCGTGTTTCTAATCGCATTTTCCATGGGATCCCAACTTTTCTTCGTGTTCCATTGTGATCTGTATAGGATCAGCTAAAGATTCTTCACCAAAAGCTTGTTTTTTTTTCGAACCCGATTCTGTCTTCTGTAGCTCCTCTATCCGTATAGGAGCCTGTAAACTTTTTATTCAAGAATTTGGGCAAAGTTATGGTGTGCCAAGCAGCTGGTCAGACAAGATTTCGAGCATTGAAGTACGAGAACGGTGACCCGAGAAAACCAACAATTGTAGTCAGAGTTATTGCATGCTTTCAACCGATGGATAATTGTCAGGTCTGTTAACAGATATTATCTTTGTTGATTTCTGCCATTACCGATCTTTGTTATGCCCTTATGTCATAGTTCAGTAACTTCAGTTGATGTTGTAAGATCTTTAGCCCTGTGTTCGTTGAATCTTGTCTCTTTTGCAGGCCGAGTACTTCCGTCATCTACTTAAACCGGTCACGTAGATCGTTTGGAAGGTCTTCGTTTGTTATTTTCAAGCTTGGATTTTCATTTGGCTTCGCTTTCTTTTTACTGTTGTCTCAAAGTACACGAGAAGTATTGCACGGAGGGAATTGAGCAAAATCCATAATCGGTAAGCTAACACAACCTCGGCTGCTTACTGTCCTGAAATGTGTTTGATAGCTTCCTTATGCTCAATGATCAATAGTAATATCCTCTTGGATGATTCTGGATAATATTTCTTGCCCTGTCTTTTCCGCTCTGCAGCTTTGTACTCTTGTCAGTTTCCCTTTCGCTTAAACTGCAAGAGCATGCCCCTTGATATCAAGAAACAAGGATGTTCGCCTTCGGGCATAATTCCTCAACCTTCCTTTCAGGATATTACTGCAGCAGGGTTGACCCGTCCTGCTATTCCTGTTCCTCAGCTCGGGAAAGCTGAGCATCAAGCTCGCTATTTGCAGCCACCATTCCAGGCATTTGTTTCCAGCCGTGACCAGCAGGCTTGTCGTGAAAAACAGTTCACATGTCTCCACGGGCTGTCTGGTTTTGCTGCACCGCACGAGGCATTCAAGTCTTCCCAGAAAAGACTTCTGATATTTGTCCAGTCGGGAAACCAGACTCGTCTGTTACAATGTGCACATCCTCTGCAGTATCCATCTGCTGTGGCTGGAGAACCCGGTAGACTTTCTGATTTGAACGGTCTGGAGAACAGGTTCAGAAAAGATGAATTTATCCCGGAAAAGATTGGTTTGGATGAAGATATTAGTGAGAGCCACATACATGGTGAAGAGTCTGAAATGCATGAAGACACTGAAGAAATCAATGCACTGCTGTATTCAGATGATGATGATGATGATGATGGTGATGATTGCGAGAGTGATGATGAAGTAATGAGCACTGGTCATTCTCCTTTCCCAATCGAAGAAGTGTGCAGTAAAATAGGATTCGAGGAAATCAATAGCAATGGTGGTCCTCACAAGAGGCAGAAACTACTGGACGGTGGGTACTGCAACTCATCATCTCTCATGGACGCTGTAAGTTCCACAGATGACAAAAGATGGGTCAATGATGAAAATCTTCTCGGTTCAGACAGCTCGAGCAAACAGGAAACGGGTTCTGGTCTGAGCAACGAGCAGTCGAAGAAAGACAAAATCCAGAATGCCATTAAAATCCTAGAGAGCATGGTCCCTGGTGCAAAAGGAAAGGATGCCCTCGTGCTTCTGGACGAAGCCATTGATTACCTCAAGACATTGAAGCAAAATCTGAAACCTTTCGGGGTTAACCTCTGTTAAAACACTCCCCCACAAACATTGTTGGTTAAAGAGGCGACATGGCGCAAAAGCTAATGGATAAGGAGTAAAGATTCTGCAGATTAAGATTAGATTAACAAGGGTTTGAAATAATTAAGCGTCTGGTCGGGATGTGGGGTCTGATCCACATGCCCGTTCTTGCCTGTCAAGAGCTATATAAGCTGTACATAGTGGACTGCTTTAGGCATGTTCATCTGTAAAAAAAAGGTCACTTTCAGTGCTTGAAGTGGAAGAAAAGTGAGTGAAGAAGAACAGGTCGAGGTCGTCTTTCTCATTGATCGTCAATGATTATATTCTTGGCTTTTTCTCCTGAGAATGGCTCTGTGGTGGGGGAAAAGGACATGAATGCGCATGGTCTTAATCTCTTATCAATATGCCAACAACACTCTCTCAGTTTGGTAAAAGTCACTGACCCCACTTCTGTCTCCTCTCCTCATCTGTTTTCCCTGTTCTCGTTTTCTTCTTCTCTCACTATCTGCATCAGTCTCTTGGATCTGAAAGCTCATCAATGAGACTGCAATGATGGAGAAGGCCCTCCTGAGTGGGGTCCGCGTTTGATGCTCTGCTGTTTTTTGTCGATCTGAGTCATGCTCTTGTGATTAATTAGTGTAATAATGGAACTGGAACTTCTTGTGTGTCTTGTTTTCTTGTGTTATGTGTCTGTTTCGTTTTTTGTTGGATTGTAACAGATTGATGCTATAACGGTTCTGTGATTTCACCTTCGTTCTAGTTCATATTAACGCACTTTGTATGAGTAATCTGAAAGAAAACAGTACAGAGTCTGATGTGAAGACCCCAACCAGAAGCTCCCCACAATCCTTTATTCCTTTCGACTGCATTCCCTTAGAATCGGACAATCAAGACCAAGATTCAAGCCTCAAGAAACCCCCTTGGCTTGGCTTCTCCTAACTGGCTGTCGTCTGGTCCAGGCTACAGACTTGAACTTGGGACTTGTCACTCCACGACCATCTCCTGGCCTTTTCTGTACTGCCCATCTTTGTCAGCTTCTTCCAACCACTGCCACTGGTCCAAGACAATCAAAGCTCTAAAGACATTTTGAGTTTGAGCAAAGACAAAAGCCAAAGACTTTGCCCATCAATAGTCTATTGTCCTGAGAGCAAAACCAATCACTGATGTTGCAACAACACTCACTTGTTGCAAGAACTTTCAAATTTCACAAATTTCCATTAGTCAAAAGAAATTGAAGAATTCCTTGTGCTTAATTTGGATTACAAGAGAAATAAAGCGAAAGAGGATACATTTCCCGAGTTTTCCTCGCATCAATCTAAACCATAGAGCTCTGATGCAACACTCTGTTGCAAAACAGGGTAACAATCAAATGTAACTAATCAGACTGAGAACATCAAATTAAATCAATCCAACAAATCGTCAGACAGATCATCAAAGGCTGGCTTCTTCTGTCAGTTCTTTCTGCAACAGCATCCATATATATATTATCCATGTTTGGTCTTCTCTTTGGCTTTGTCTTTTTGAGCGAAAAGAACAACAGCCTAAGACTAGGACGACTCATCCGTCTTCTCAACTGCACTGCCATTGAACTTCAAGCCGTACATATGACCCATCTTGGCCCGCTTCGTTTCCAGGTATCTCTTGTTCTCCTTTGTGATCAGACTCAGGAGAGGCACTCTACCCACGACGGTCAGACCATAGCCCTTCAGCCCCACGTACTTTGCAGGGTTGTTCGTCATCAGCTTCATCGTTCTAACGCCCAGGTCCCCCAGCATCTGCACACAGTTGAAGAACCAGTGAGTATATATGCAAAAAGGTGTTTTGATTTGTTAAACTAGAACTGAATTCATAAACCCCGAGAAAATCTTTCACCTGTGCACCGATTCCGTACTCTCTTGAATCCACAGGAAGGCCGAGTTCCTCATTGGCTTCCACAGTGTCACGTCCAGCATCTTGCAAGTTGTAAGCCCGGAGCTTGTGGCCCAAACCGATTCCCCTGCCTTCGTGTCCACGAAGGTAGATCAAGACACCACGCCCAACTGACTCCATCTGCTGCATTGCAAGAGAGAGCTGATTCCCACAGTCACACCTTTGAGATCCAAATATGTCCCCTGTGAGGCATTCTGAATGCACCCTCACAAGAATGTCTTGGCCATCACCAATCTCACCCTATATGAACAACAGATCACATACATTATGAAGCATTCACTCATTCATCTCTAGATAAACGAAGAATTCACGAACATCAAATCATGCTACTGTCTTTCATATGATCAAAGAACAGAAGTATCAGTGTACTGCTCACCTTGACCATTGCAATGTGCTCTATTCCATCTAATATGGATCGGTAGCAATAAGCCGTGAAAGGCCCCCACATTGTTGGGATCCGAGCTGCAGAAGAACGTTCCACTAGTTTATCTCTTTTCCTCCTATACCTGTCAATATTAGAAAAAGAAAGCTCATCTTTTAAGATTCAAGAGAAGCCAAGCATACGAAACAAAAAAGATTTAAAAATGCAAGGGGATGTAATGAGATTAACATATAAAACAGGTTAGCTAAAATCTTGGGTTATTTTAAACATTAACTCACGCAATGTGCAAGGACAATGGAATGATGATTTGTCCCGTTCATTTACCATCACACAGCATATTGAAGACATGGATGTATGCATGTACACAACAGATCAGCTTTCACAATACCACCCTCAAAAAATTTCCAGTACCTACCTTATCAAATCAGCAATCGATACGATTTTCAAGTTGTTCTCAGCAGCAAATTCACGAAGTTTCGGTAACCTAGCCATGGAACCATCATCATCAACAATTTCGCAAAGAACTCCAACAGGATCCAGTTCAGCTAAAACAGCAAGATCAACAGATGCTTCAGTGTGTCCAGCCCTTTTCAAAACCCCACCTTCCCGATACATCAGTGGGAAAATATGACCAGGGCGGTTGAAATCCTCGGGCTTCGAATCTCCTGATGCAAGGGCTTGTATCGTTGTCGCCCTGTCACGAGCTGATACCCCTGTTGTAGTACCATGCTTCGCATCCTATGAAACAAAAGTATAAGCAGCAAATTAGATAACAGATATCCGAGGCATCAGTATATATCAGCAGAAAATTGAGCACAATCGATGTTGTTGATCAGTTCTGATATGGGGTCTAGATATCAAGAAAGTTCAAATAGGATCATTTCAATGGTGAGAAAGCAGACATAGCAGCAGCAGACAGAGCAACAGTGCCAGATTTTGCAAATATGTCATCAGGAAGGAAGCTTTCAAGATAAATACTAACCACAGTGACTGTGAATGCTGTACAGAGCTTTTCCTCATTTTCTCTTTGGTTTACCATTAGCGGAAGTTGCAACCTCTGAAGGTCATCCTCTTTCATGCTCACACAAACTATTCCTGTTCCATGTTTCACGATAAAAGCCATAGCCTCAGGTGTTGCCAACTGAGCCGCCATTACCAAATCCCCCTCGTTTTCCCTATCTTCATCGTCCACAACTATCACAAGCTGCATAATGGCAACCAGTCAAGGGTGTTTTTTCTTGATTAGGACGCTCAGAAAGAGAAAAGAAAAAGAAGAAGAATAGATGGGACAAACCTTTCCCTGGCGGATATCTTCAATTGCCTCGGGGATTGAAGAGAAGCCTTCTGTTGGTGAGTCCAAATCAAACTCATCATCGTCAGATGCGAAACCATTGGCTGCAGGAGCTGTATCAGCCGCAAGTGTTCCAAGAGCATCTGCATCAGGCTGCAAGGCTTTAACCTGATCACCGCCAATTACAGCCCCGTTTGAGCGAGGAGGGCTGCCAATGGAATATGACAACAGATCACCTTCACCAGAGACCACTGCTGCCTTAACTTTTCCAGCAGTCTTAATGCCAAAGGATGAGTCCGGCTTGAGGCCAATGGCCGGGAAACCAATCCGGTGTACTCCATGGAACAACGTGTAGCTTTTGCTTAGTCTGCACATGATCAGAAATCATTATAGCCTCTTAAGCAAGAATTGTTTGATCGTGAAGTGAAACACCATGATGCCAATCAAATGCGATTCGATATGATTAATGGCGAAAAAGGAAAACGTAGAAGCCCCTCGAAGGAAGAGCACATGAAATATGACATAGTCAACAGGGTTCTCAAATCCTGCCTCTGAAATATAACCCACAAAAAAACTGATACTAACAGGAAAATGTATGATCTTCAAAACCTCCTTACGGAAACATGTAAGATTCAAGAATTTCTCAGATATGCAAACTAGAAGCCATGATCCTCCCTAGAAATTCATCTATTGGATAACGCAGAAGGGGATCTAGCTGAAACCACGAAGAACTCATTTCGAATTGATACGTGCGTTTATTCAAATCATACAAAAGGAACAACATAAAGACAACGGAAATGAGGAATAATCAGCATGACAAGCACAATCCCACCAAACCAGATGAAGGGGAAAAGCAAAAGACAAAGGCTTTTAAAAACAAACTCACCTAGGGCGCCGAAGAGCCCCCGTTGAAGGAGACGAAGAAGAAGGAGATGAGACGCTGATCGACGCCATTTCTCTTCCTCGCGGCAAATTACGAAATACCCACTTCGCAAAATCAGAAATTTCGAGAAACCCACTTTCTCTCCGACGAAAACAGAAGGGAAGGATCGAGAGGATGGGCTCTATGAAGGCGGAGGAGAAACTGCGGCGAAGCGGGAGAGAAGAATGGGTAATCGATGATGACGATGGCGATTAGCGAAGCACAGCCTGGGATGGGGGAAGAAGCTTTGGTGGTGAAAACGATGAATGTGAGAGTTGGGGGATAAGACTCTCGCCCCTTCCTTTTCCTCACCATTCCCCACGCCGCCTCTTATAGACTTCAATCTTCCCGACTCAATTTGTTTTTTTTTTTTTAACTCATGGCAAAAAAAAACTAAAAAGTCTAAAATAATATCCAGTGAATATGAAAATTATTCTGACAACGGAAGGAGACTGCGATTTGTAAAATCAAATATAGTTATCACATGACCTGGTGATGATGATGATGATGATGATGATGATGATAATTATAAGGGATTAATAATTTTGTGGTTGTAGTGTTAGTCAAAGACGAATATTACCTAATTCGACATTGGGATCGAGATGTGGGAGAGAAAGATGCAGAGGAAGACCCTAGAAAAACTTTAAACTAAGTTTATGCAACGTTGGGAATTTATGAATTCTGACGTCGATCCATTATTCAACGCATTGAATTGAATATATATATATATATATATATGAAAAAAGGAACATGTCCAATGGATAAAAAATAAACATATCTAGAGCGATGATTGTGCATGGGATGGGCTCAAAGATGATGTTTGCCACGAGAAGGATGGGCCGATCCAAAGTGATTGCTGTTCACAATTAATACATGCAAAACTTTGTATTATAAAAAATGTTATTTAAATTTCGAGAGGCAGCCCATTTCTATTCCACATGGACCACCCATTGTTTCTGTGGTCGGACGAGATATACATGCATAATTCCTTGTACGAATACGCAGATTTGGAATGGACCGTTATTAAATAACATACAAATTATGTCATTGTGCAAGAAATCATGATATTCGTTTAATTTTTCATAACCCGTAACTTTATGAAAAAATACATAATTACGTACATACAAGATTATACCCTAATTAACCTATGGGATACGAAATTATCATTTGAATTTTGATTGATTTAATAGAAAAATACAATTAAATTTTAATAGGTAAAATCTTGATTAATACAACAAGTACAAACCTCTAGTGGGTTTTATGTGGGTCCCACTGACAAATGTAAGCCCACAGCAGATCTCTCCACCATTCACTTCTCTCTCCGCCGTCTCTTTCTCTCTCTTCACGGCGGCGATGGAGGGCTTAGCCCTTCGCTCTCTCTCCACAACCACTGCATCCTTCCCCCGCCTTTCTCTCCTCCGCCGTCGATCTACGCCGCATTTCGTCTCTCTCTCCCCTCTCTCCACCGTCCGATCTCTCTCCCTCAAACCCGCTTCCATCTCCTCCTTCTCTCCCCTCCAACCCACTCCCCGTTTCTCCCCACGGGCCGCCGCGTCTCCCCAGAACGCTGCGGCTCCCCCGCCTTCCAAGCCCCCTTCTCCCCCGCCGCCT